TCGAAGTCGAAGTCTCGAAGTCTCGAAGTCTCTCTCTCTCTCTCTCTCTCTCTCTCTCTCTCTCTCTCTCTCTCTCTCTCTCTCTCTCTGCAAAATCATGTTTGGTCATTTGGATACATTCTAGGAAGTGGGTTGGGCCGGGAACTTTTCAACACATCCTCATATATATATATATATAAATAATGAGAGAAATTAATTTAAAGTTATTTATTTGTTTGTTTTCAAAATAATCTTCCATCTGAAAACTACTTCAGAAGATCTAAGTTAATCCACAACTCTGATCACTTTTTATTTCATCTCCTCTCTAATGGAATACAGGAATGTTTCATAGATAAATAAATTATCGTAAGAATTGAAATCTATTTCTGTAATATCCAACCGAACGTTGAAACCCGTTAAAGACGCTGTACTTCTTTGGAACATCAAGAAAATGATCTTTTAAGTCTTCAAGCCATCTTTGCTGATTATTTTTTTCGGTTTCTTCGTCCTTTCTGCGCTTATCTTATAAAAATGGAAAATAATCTTTAGCCACATAAACATATTTTGATTTAATTACTTTAAACCTCTTCTTCTCTCTCTCCTTCCTCTTCCTCTTCCTCTTCCTCCTCCTCCTCCTCATCAAAAGCAGCAGCATCGTCATTGTTGACATACATCTATATCATTTTGTCATTACTTCTTAGTAATATCTGTTACCATCATTAACAACCGCATCACCTTCATCAATATTTTACATATAACCATTATCATTATTACATAATTCTTGAAAGGTTGGCTTACGGCCATATTACGTTCAAACACCGTTTCTAGCACGATCATCGAAGTTAAGTAACGTCAAGCCTGGTCAGTATCTAAATGGGTGACTTTTTCGGAATACCAGGGACTGTAAGGATGGATGTGCGAATGGTGTAATGGATAAAGGCTCAAATTGGAAATCTGAGAATCGACATCCAATTTTTTCCAATTCCGAGCTTTTATCTATTTATACCATTCTCATTACATCACTCGGGTTCATTATATTCATGCAAATACCATTGGGAAAGATATGAATCCAACTCTTCACCCCTCCAAGTATTGGTTAAATAGTAGGAAATCATTATCACCCACACCCCATCCGCAAAAAATTCTTACAATCTAAAAATATTTTCTGTCTTTAAACAATCTGCAAAAGGTTTATAAGCCGTAAAAACAAAATCGAAGAAACAAATCTTTTTTTCTTTTAAAATCTTTTTTTTAACAAGTTTTTTTCATATATTGTCTCATCATAAATATTAAACTGATGTGCAAAAACAAAAACAGACAGAATTACGCTGGACATTTTTCGTTGTCTCCCCTACTTGCAGAAATGAATTCAAACGGATTAAGTGTGCGTGACGTAATAATCAGAATTATATTTCTCATATTTACTACCGGAAGTAATTGTCAACCTTAGTGCGCTCGTATCGAATATGAAATCTGCGATTGATAGCGGAAGAACTGAATACGAATAGTGAAACTGTGCAGCTGATTGTCGCAAAGGATTTACGTGTTTGTCAGTTCCTTGCTAGGAAAACCCTTATAAAAACTGAGCATACACTTTATTCATCAGGTCTATCACCTTGTGATTTTTAACTATTTCTAGAATTGAAAAATAACCTGAAACGTCAAAGAATTGCTAACATACGGCAACACATGACTATGTTACTGAAAGGTATTCTGGAAAACAAGTTCCAAGAATATTTACAGCAATGGCATCCTCGTCTCACAAAATGCATAGTCTCACAAGGGCGAGTAATTTGAAGGTAGCAGATCAGATAAACAACCTTTGCTTTCACAGGTTCATTCTAGGAATTAAATGATCACGCCTCGTGTACCTTAGAAAAGTTAAATTGTGTGATTGAATTGATAGAAAAGATGGAAACGTTGACCCAAATGAAAGCATTTTCGTCACAATCATTATTTTTTTTTTCATTTTCTATTATTATTTATTTTAGTATCTTTTGATAAGTGTTTTATCACTGGAAAGAACTTTTTGATTATTGAATCAACAAAAATAAAAGAACATTACCAAGTGAAACAATGATTAACAGAAAGAGTACATGTCTTAAAAGAGTTCACCTCTCAGCTTCAACCGATATTACACCCAGCTATGTGGATGTGTGGATGGTATAACGGTTAGGAATTCGAAAAGAAAAATCAGCGAATAGAGTTCAAATTTCAGTAGTATTAGTTAAATTCACTTTCGCACAAATACCTGTCTCGCCATCTGACCCTCCCCCAGCTATGGGTTAAATAGCAGGACTAACTGGGAAATCTAGGGGAAGGCAAACTGAATACAAAAAGAGCCCGTTTTGATGAAGGCACATCCAATGTTATCATAGTGTCCCTACGATCCTAATGGGTTACGAGACTCGTAAGCATTAAGCTTTTATTTGTTTCTTTTATTTTCATTCATATTTTAAGTGCAATTTATTTATTTAAAGTAGCCCTGTCCGTTTCCAGGTCAGGCCACAACTGATATCCTTCTACTTGGGGGCTCGTTCTGGTCAATAACATATAGTTGTTTATTTCATCATGGGAAACCCTCCAGTCTAGCAATTGGAAGCCTTCTGGGCAGTTCTGGATGTACCATGTGGAGATTTATTCTGTAACTGGTCGAAATTTCTCTCTCTCCTCTCTCTCTCACTCACACACACACACACATATATATATATATATATATATATATATATAGAGAGAGAGAGAGAGAGAGAGAAAGAGAGAGAGAGAGAGAGACTGTTCTCTAATCCAATGGTGAGACTCTCTAAACCACTTTACATTATCTGCGCAGTTTGGTACCAGGAGCGATAAACTCAGGGAAGGATAATATATATATATATATATATATATATATATATATATATAATTGCTGATACCCACTGAAGAGTGGACGGACAGGTCCGCCTACGAAACTTTGAAGTCGAGATGCTGAAGGTAACATCAATCAGCTAAGTGACAAACTTCTACTTATATATATAAACAGGGATCATATCATTCATATACAGGTTCGGGATTGATGTATCTTATTTATAGTTTGCGACGATGTATTCTCGCCATTTAAATCATTAACCTTTATATTTGTTTTTTGTATGAATGATTCATGAATTTGTAAATTATATTTGCACCTTTTAATTGAAATATATATATATATGTGTGTGTGTGTGTGCGTGTGTGTGTGTGAGTGTGTAATGGAGCGGTTTCTCGTTGCCTACTCCACATTGAATTTCTTGAGGAACGACTGTAGGCTCACTTGAAAATTCCAGTCAGACAATAGAAGAGGCGGATAGAGGTGAAAATGGGCTGACAACGTCACTGATTGAACTGGAAGATTCAAACATTGGTACGCAACTGAGACATATGGTGGGGGTCGGGGATCAAGCACAGCTACCCTACGACCACATCCGGTCCGGTCATAGACTAATGATGATAATGATGACAATTTATCTTTCCAATAATTTATACGCGTCAAAGAAAAGTTTCGATTTTCCTAAATGGCATACCATCGATGACTACAACTGCTTTGTTTTTTTGATAATAAACATTGTTTACTACCAAGGATCACTGATGTGGGTTGACTAAATTAAAGATCACTTTAAACTTGGCCACACACAACCACATACATCACATCATAATAAAAATACGGGACGAAAGTTACACTGCACGAAACTTTCTTGGGGTCAATTGCAGTAAAAAGAGTTAGATTGGATGGCAGCAATTTTACTGCTAAGAGTAAAAGTTGTTAGGAACTTAATTTCTTTATTATGTCAAGAAGACAGCTTCCAGATTTAACAGGAAATCGAATTATTCTGACGTAATGATCTCTGAGTCAACAACACATTTGAGCGGCGCTTGAATTAATACCATCGCAATCTATGCTTTACCATCTACTGTTTTGCAATAGTTTAATCTTCTCACAGCAACTACTACAATATCCTGAACAGCTAACTCCTATTCTTTTAATATTTTTATTTTTTTTTAAAGTTTACTGTTTCCCGTCTAATATAGAGTTCGCTAATTTTTATTATCTTGTTACTACCTTTAAGTTGCTACTCTCATCTACAAATAAATTTTTCTGTTAATATCTCGAATACTGATTTCTGTTTCCTAATTTAGCAATGAGCAGTTCTGTTATCGCAGCTACTTTTACCAACCATGTGTTGACTTAAAAACTCTCTCTCTCTCTCTTTCTCTCTCTCACACACACACACACACACACACAGTGTGTGTGTGTGTGTGTGTGTGTGTGTGTGTGTGTGAATCATTTCATTGCATCCTATTTATGTCGTTATCTGCTCACATACTCGTCTTTTAACATAAACCACATTTCAATTTTTAAGATAATATTTCAGTACCAGTACCTTTCAGGACATAGGCGATCATGGCTCTATGCAGATTGCTTTTCTTTATTATCTGTGAATTGGCATGCATTATATAGAATTCCCGTTGCCTTCTCTATGGTTTAGAATTTCTACTTTTCCTTCTCTTAGACTTTGTGGCAACCAGTTTAACCTGCTATTTAATCCATAGCTCTTGGAAAGGCGCTATGGGTTATGATGATGATGATGAGAAGGAGGGAGGGAGAAGAAGAGGTTTAAAGTAATTAAATCAAAATATTTCTTTAATTTAATTGCTCAGATTGTTTCATAATCTAGACTCTCTAGTTACATTTAAGCTTTTTAGAGGAAACTCTAGATAATCCCGTGTGTTAACACCCTCGCAGAGGTGATCAAGAAAAGAAAAAAAACTCTTGAAAAATGCTAAAATGGTTAACAGCTTCAGCCACAGTAGACGCTGTTTTTCTCCAAACATAGCTCAGTGAATGGGCTACACTTTATAATAATGTTTCCCAATGAGTTTTATCAATTGTTCATAACAAGTTTTCCATAGGTAAGTAAGATTTACGTTTTCATTTTTACTCTAAATGTTCATGTTAAAATGGGTCGAACTCTGTAAGAAGTACAATGGCCTTCATGAAGTTTACATAATTGGATGAGCGCCACTTCTTCTCATGACCTTTAAATGCCAAACATCTTTCATTTAAAAACTTTTTAACGGCTGCAACTCTTTTCATTATTTCAAAATAAGATCTTTTTTCTCATCTGTTCCTCATGTAACTGATCCACACAAAAGAAAAGATAGAGATCGTACCAAAATGACACTCAACAACTTCAGAAAAAGGAAACAATGTCTTTTCCCAACATGGTTTAGTGTATCGGATGTAATGGAAAGGTTACCAATTGTAGTGGCTGCAGTTGGTAATTGTGACAAGAAAAGATTGAAAACATTCAAAAGAAATGATTTGAACGCGTATATATATATATATATATATAGATAGATAGATAGATAGATAGATAGATAGATAGATAGGTAGTTATATATATGTATTAATTCAAGAATAGAGGTAAACATTCTTGTGTATACACAAATAGACAGGATTCAGAAAAAGGAAAGAAAATATTGTCTGTAGTTTGTGTGTGTGTGCACCACGTGGTTGGTTTAAAATAAAGTAGCCGGCTCGTCATGTCTGTTCCGCTTTTACCACTGATTACAGCGCCATATATCTTGTGCTAAGCGAAGTACCTTGGTAAAGAAGGTGGGGTAATCCCAGAGCTTCACGTGGTACATAGTCTGCAGAGAATAGTTCATTTGATTTTGCAATGAGGGCATATGAATACTCAGTGTGTGTGTGAAAATTCACGTACAAAACAGAAAAAAAGATGGGAATTCAAAAATATAAAACAAGTGACAGAACAAGTTAATATAACGTCTCTAGATTTCTCTAAAACCTGATTCAATTGAAAATCTTTCTTGAACATCTTGTCCAGCTATCAATGTGACGCCAGTAAATTGTATTATTCAAGTATCGACCAGTCGCTAAGTCAGTGCCATTCAGGTATGAATATGATGACAGACCAAAGTTTTTATTGGACTATATCGATATAGATATACAGTAGTGTGGATTGTTTTTCACTTTTTTCAGAAAATCATCATTGTACTCAATGTAAAAGCTGTGATTTTATGGGATAAGTACTGACGCCAAAAATTAGATTCATAACTTTTATTGGTTTATGAGCATTTATTTTTAAAGATCGCCACAAAAATGTACAGAAATACCTAATTTCCTCAGGTTTTTGCTGACAAACTGACTTCAAAATTTTACTATTTTAAGAATAAATCCAAATAAAATTGATATTTTTTCGTATTGGAAGGAGTAAATGAAAAATATATTCAAATTAGAATTCTAATTTTGAATCACCACAAACAAAATATGCAATTTTTTTATTGGATTTGATAAGTAAAAACTGTAAAAAATGTAAAAGATTACAAAAAGGCTACCCAATGAATAAGATTCATATTATTTATTAAATCCTAATTAATAAAAACGAAAAAGGGATAAAAGTGTATATAACACCATAATACTGCTGGGAACAAATTATGAGACAACCTGTTTTAAATTTGCATTGATTATTCAAAAGTCAAATTAATACTACTGCACTGTAAACATTACATCATAATATAGCTAAATTGTTCAGTGTAATTTCCCTTTGAAGTAAATGAAGGTATTATTTGATGGCAAAATGATTTAATAATAATGTGTTTGTGCCATGCATCTTGTCAATATACAATTTGTAAAGCTTCAGTAAATTTATAAATTTTATAAGACTTTCACTGATCACCGGAATAAAAGTTCAACGCTACGATTTTGAATCTAAACTTAATCTTTTAAATTCGTCTCCTCACAAAACGGTAATGATTTTGAAAAAAATATTCTGTGTCCTTATTTATCATGTCAAACCCCAACTTCCAAATTTTGTGCAATACCATGGTTTCAAAATCGACCTGCCCTCATATACAGTAACGTGTTAAGTGTCAGGAGATAAGTGTATCCAGATCACGTGAACACACCACCATCGGCCTACACAATGCTTTTTTGACAACTGAAGTTCATTGCTTCATGGGTTCAACACCACGTCAAAACCCTACTATCAGCGCAAAACATTTGGAACTGTGGCCCATCGGATCACGTTACATGTCGGTCAGTACTCCAGGGTGCAGTTAGTGACATCACCCCAAGTTACCTAGAGGAGCCTTACGCGATACTAGGCATTTATTTTATACGTCAGTGTACATAGAACAGCTAATTTAATAGATCAGTGTCTTTCAAATATCGATATGGCGTCAGGTTCAAATCCTTTACATATTGCTGAGTCGCTAGACCTAAGCTTTCATATCGTTTAGATATGGAAGTGGGATCAGGAAAATTTCGGAGGACTTCATTGATATATGTGTCATTCAGATGTCAAGATATCGCCTGGGCAAAGTCTTCATTGATATATGTGTCATTCAGATGTCGATATGTCACCAGACCAAAGTCTTCATTGATATATGTGTCATTCAGATATCGATATGTCGCCCGACTAAAGTCTTCATTGATATATGTGTCATTCAGATATCGATATGTCGCCCGACCAAAGTCTTCATTGATATATGTGTCATTCAGATGTCGATATGTCGCCGGACCAAAGTCTTCATTGATATATGTGTCATTCAGATATCGATATGTCGCCAGACCAAAATCTTCATTGATATGTGTCATTCAGATATCGATATGTCACCAGACGAAAGTTTTCATTGATATATGTGTCATTCAGATATCGATATGTCGCCCGACCAAAGTCTTCATTGATATGTGTCATTCAGATATCGATATGTCGCCCGACCAAAGTCTTCATTGATATATGTGTCATTCAGATGTCGCTATGTCGCCCGACCAAAGTCTTCATTGATATATGTGTCATTCAGATGTCGATATGTCGCCAGACCAAAGTCTCCATTGATATATGTATCATTCAGATATCGATGTGTCGCCCGACCAAAGTCTTCATTGATATATGTGTCATTCAGATATCGATATGTCGCCCGACCAAAGTCTTCATTGATATATGTGTCATTCAGATGTCGATATGTCGCCAGACCAAAGTCTCCATTGATATATGTGTCATTCAGATATCGATGTGTCGCCCGACCAAAGTCTTCATTGATATATGTGTCATTCAGATGTCGATATGTCGCCCGACCAAAGTCTTCATTGATATATGTGTCATTCAGATGTCGATAAGTCGCAAGACCAAAGTCTCCATTGATATATGTGTCATTCAGATATCGACGTGTCGCCTGGCCAAAGTCTTCATTGATATATGTATCATTCAGATGTCGATATTTCGCCAGGCCAAAGATTTCATTGATATATGTGCCATTCAGATATTAATGAATTGCCGAGCCAAGGATTTCATTTGTCTGTATCATTCAGATATCGATATGTCGCCTGGCCAAAGTCTTCATTGATATATGTGTCATTCAGATGTCGCTATGTCGCCCGACCAAAGTCTTCATTGATATATGTTTCATTCAGATGTCGATATGTCGCCGGACCAAAGTCTTCATTGATATATGTGTCATTCAGATATCGATATGTCGCCAGACCAAAATCTTCATTGATATATGTGTCATTCGAGATATCGATATGTCACCAGACGAAAGTTTTCATTGATATATGTGTCATTCAGATATCGATATGTCGCCCGACCAAAGTCTTCATTGATATGTGTCATTCAGATATCGATATGTCGCCCGACCAAAGTCTTCATTGATATATGTGTCATTCAGATATCGCTATGTCGCCCGACCAAAGTCTTCATTGATATATGTGTCATTCAGATGTCGCTATGTCGCCCGACCAAAGTCTTCATTGATGTATGTTTCATTCAGATATCGATATGTCGCCAGACCAAAGTCTCCATTGATATATGTGTCATTCAGATATCGATGTGTCGCCCGACCAAAGTCTTCATTGATATATGTGTCATTCAGATGTCGATATGTCGCCAGACCAAAGTCTTCATTGATATATGTCATTCAGATATCGATATCGCCCGACCAGATATCGATATGTCATTCAGATGTCGATATGTCGCCAGACCAAAGTCTTCATTGATATATGTGTCATTCAGATATCGATGTGTCGCCTGGCCAAAGTCTCCATTGATATATATATCATTCAGGTGTCGATATTTCGCCAAGCCAAAGATTTCATTGATATATATGTCATTCAGATAATGATGAGTTGCCGAGCCAAGGATTTCATTTATCTATGTCATTCAGATATCGGTATGTCGCCAGGCTAAAGTCTTTATTGATATATGTGTCATTCAGATATCGATGTGTTGCCAAGCGTAAACGTGATTAGACAGACGCGTGGCGTTTTCATGTTGTTGATGAGCGTGAAGTTGCAGAAGTAGTGAAATGAGTAATGGTTGCCTCTTCATATCGGAGCACTCAAACAACGCAAGAACCAATTGTTCATATCAAATTATCCGCTCACCCTGTGTGAGTGACAGACTGAGAAACGCCAATTGCATTTGTTCGATTGCCGAGAAAAAGACAATACAGAACACGTGATCTTGTATTTCGGGAAAAGTCAACAACTTAGCCGTCAAGCAAGTCAGGGTCGAATTCATGACCAGGTTAGAGATTAAGGTAATTCAGAACATCTTTTCGTTTTCACTCACTTTTATGAAAGTACGACATTATACAACGATAAGTTCTGCCTTATGTATGCAAATTGGGGACGCCATTTTTCTTCGCTGGCCTGTTCGCTGACAGACGAAGGTGATGAGATCAAATTCAATAAACAATGGGAGGAGATTTTGTTCATTAAGACATCGCTTTTTATGTTGAAAGCATTTAAAGTAGCATGAAATTCCAAATCAATGTGTTTTTCACTGCAAAAAGAAGCTAAAATTCCCAGACTAATTTATGGTCACCCATCGACGCAAGAAAAACAATTTTAAACCAAAATTTCGGTTCTAAAATGGATTAAAGAATATAATTTAATATTAAAAAAATCCTTTGGTCTTTCCTCTTAATAATAACATAGAGGTTTTAACGATAAAGCTCTGTTTTACTAAGTTTGGGGCATTGATAAGAAATAGTTTATCTGAGCGGCGATGGAAATAAAGTCTTAAATGTCGTGAGAGCAAAGTGAAACTGATGATGTCTTATCTGCCCCGGTTTTCAAGAGGAAACGAAAGCTAAATGATATCACAAAAGTTGTCTTTACTTACAAATCAGGCTCACCATCTTACAAGAGGATGTGTCTACTCAAGGGTTAGGAATGTATCTTCCCTTAGAGGTGTCTACCCGATTGTTCTGTCTGTCCAGGCGGCGCTCTGCTAATTGACCGTAAAAGGTTACATGACTGTGGGGTCAGTCTCCGGATATTAGGAGGAAAAATAAGATTCGAATGTCGTGTCCACAAATACAATACATTTTTTATGCAAATCGAAGAAATGATCTTCGCAGAAAAGAAAGAAGGCCAAGCTAAATATGAGGGTAACATTTATACAGTCAGATACATGTATTTATACAGTCAGATACATGTATTTACATATTTAAAAAATCAATGTTCTTTGTTGTGGCCATCAAGAGACCAATAATAGTTCGATTGTGCGAAATGATTTGTCATAAGTGAATTTGCAAAGTTTCAGTGTTTTTGTTGCAAGTAAGGAAATCAAGTGGTATGGTACGCCGATATGTGTGTGCGTGCGCGCGCGCGCGTGTGTGTGTGTGTGTGTGTGTGTGTGTGAAGTACACACTAATTAGCATTAATTGTAAAACACAATGAACAAAGAGAGGGAAGACAAGACTTACTTTCGTCATGGCATTATATGTAGAAAAACCATCGCTGACCGACGCGTTGTCATGGTAAAATGCGTCTAAGCTGTTGATCAATGCATAGTGTGGCCTGGTTTGCTGACTGTCTTTCGCTGATCAAGTCGTTGACTGCTTTTCATTGACTGCGTCGTTGGAGATTTGGTCACTGACCGTTTTTATTGCTATGGGTCGGCACCGAATCCTATCTGAGTATTGCGCGGGAATCTAGTCAGTAATCCGAGCACTGACCTGCTTCCACGTCATTTGGAGTTCAACCGCGCGGACATCGAAACCACTTATTTAATTTGGAGCCGTGTTTGTACAAAATTGTTAAAAAGTTTTTCGTATCTACTGAATTTAGTAAGATTTATTTGTAGGCGTCTCTTATTTTTTGTGCTTCACTTATTGGCCGTCAAATATAGGAGTTTATATCTTATATGACCAATATATATTAATTAGGTAAGAGGAAATAAATTTATCCCAATGGCGAATGAGTAGTGAGTTTATATATGGAAAGTGTTGATGAGATTAAAGATTACACAAATTCTAGACAGGTAAAGATTAATATTGCGGGTTTACTCTACCTGTCTTGCCAAAAGAGTATAAAAGAAAAAGGTGTAAAGGTCTCATTTTCTCCATTTCTCTTTTCCCACGGATGTTTTAGAAATAAAATGTGTGTTTAAAATGAGAAGTATTCCGTGGCGATGATACGAGAGTTTGTTTTGACAATAATAAAAAAAAGATCAGTCGCGAAATCGGCTTGTGGGCCCTCAGAGTGGAAAATTTGTACACAGTACGATTTAAGTTTGTTAGAGGATTGCGTTTGGAAGTCGTTGGTGTGTTGGCGACTGTCACCGGAGGGATCTTCTGTAATTATAATTAAAAATATAAAGTAATGTTTCGACACAAATGTGAGGACTTCTGTAATTATTGAACGCAATTAAAAGTAACTTACAAATTCCGTAGTCCCCTTGACACAAATGCATTGTTGGCTTTATCTCGTATCCAAGAATTTAATTTCTTCTTTGCTGATCCTTCCCTTAAGATGATGGTGCTGATGACTAATAGACCAATTCTTGCATTGGCAAATTCCGTAGTCATGTTGGTGGCGGACGAGTATATTTTGTCGAGCCTTTCTCTCGTCAGTATCTTCAAGTTTTGGTTCCAATGGTGATGGAACACCGCCAGTTGGTACGGTTTCAATAAACCTCAAGCCCAGTGGCTTTCTGTGTTATTTTAAATTCGTCGTTATCTTTATCTCTGACTTCATTGAATAAGACGACATGAAAATTTAATTTCTTAGGCGGTGTTTCATGATTCTGATATTTTACAGTTTGCTCTTTCAAAGTCTTTGGTCTTGGTCATGTATTTCCATTTTATGTTTAAGATTTTAGCGGACCGTGGCGGCGATGTGTGTATTGGCATTTATCCAGACGATCCAATCCAAGAAAGTTGGACTTTAATTTCCAAAGAAACAAAGAAAACAAGCAAGACCTACGTAAACAAATTTGTATTAATAACAAGTTAAAGGTTACAAGTTACATGACAATTTGGACTTTTTCTGTGTGTGTGTTATGTTGTGTTTATTGTTTTTCTGTTTCTTGAACTGAGGAAAAAAAGAGGTCGAGGCGAAGGGTCAGCCAGTCACTGGTGAAACAGCCTCCGACAAGAAATTTTCTGGTAAAACCTAATTTTTGGATGTCACGACGATGGTGACAGCCATACAAAAAGTTTTGTTTTCAGATCATTTCATCGAAGACGCGTTTGATTATTCCAAATATTACTTGTTCCAATCATTTTCTATGGTATTTTTTTTTTTGAAAATAACATCTGTTTTAGTATTTGAGGCTGGCTGTCTGCATTAAAGAACTCTTCTCAAATGTAAATCTCTCGAAATCTTTCATAGGAATATTTTGTACACACATACGTACGAAAAGTGACATTCTCAAATCGTTTCATACTTGCCATTAAGTTTTGTTCAGACAATCTTGATGTTATGATGGTGTACGTTCCAAATACTCTCTTGTTTGATAAACACAATTCGTTCACTTCTTTAGATGGCTGTAAGGAAAAGAGACAAGTCCTTATTTAAGTTTTTTTGAGCAAGAGGAATTTTGCAAGTGTATAATTTGAAGTCTTTCAAAAGGACTTTTTAGGGATGTGGGTGGGAGGATAAAGAATATCACCCCTCTTATCCCCATTATTTCAATGAGGTGATTGCTCAAAAAGCCCGATATCAAATTTAAAAGGAACAAACATTTAACAATAACATAAAAATAATATAAACATCGTCAAAATAAAGGCAAAATTTCAAAAAATAAAAATTATTCAACAAACTTTCAATAATCGAAAAAATCTTGAAGGTGTAAAACAATTCCTTCTTTTTTATTTTCTAAAGTTTCAAAATACACATTTTTTTTTCGGCGGCTCTTTTTTAAACAAATTTGTTCTTTTAGAAAATTAAGGTTTCACTTGGGGTTTGCTTCTTTTTCTGTTTCTTTTTTCGTTTGCTTCTTACTTCGTCATGAAACAGCCCAACTCAACCAAATTTCCTTCTGGCTTAACATTTACATTTTTTAACATCTGTTTTTACTTTTTCTTCAAAATTTTTATACCTTCTCAAATTTTCTATTGTCTTCTTATATAGCCTCCAAATTGGCTCTAGATGGCTGTCAACTTTTCAATTTGAGTAGGTAGGATTCCCCCTTCTGATTGCTCAAAAATGCAAAGGTGTATATATTAAACCGTCGGCCTTATATCGGCGGTTCTTTTTTCAGCCATTCTCTTTTTAGAAAATTAAAAATGTTTCACATCAAATTTATCTGGCTTTCTATTAATTTTTAAACACTTTTCTTTAAAGCAAGTATAATAAACAAACCTAGACAGAAAAATATTTTCTTTTTACAACCCTTAGGAGGATCATGAATTATTTTTTTTATTTACTACAGGTCAACTTTAGAAAGATAAGTGAAATTACCTGCGTGTGCGGGGTTGAGGTCAGACGTGGAAGGCGGAGTGTTTGCCATGGATTGAATTACAAAGCGAGCCTGCTCCGAGCACTGATTTTTGTAATCGGAAGGAGTGAGATACGCAGGTTTGTCACCTAAGACCTGCCTTCCCTCCCTTCTTATTTATTTATTTTGCAAAAGGGGCTTTATGAGAACAGAATCGCTCTACGTGCTCTCTTTTTCTCACTTTATTAATTGATCCCTGACTGAATTTTGGGTCGCGAGACTAGGCAGTGTTTCGCAACACTTACAGTGCCGGACCAGCTTCTGATCTACCCTTTGAGTCAAAAGGAATTTTCGACACAACAGAGGTTAAAAATATTTTTATATCCACTGACCTGCTCTGCACCAATTTTTATTTCTAGTGGATTTCTCAAGAGCCACATTGAAAACTTTGCACATCATTATACCGTCTTTGTAAATATTAATACAATATTTCAAACGACATGCATTCATTTTACAACAAAATAAGCTTATTTTAAAAAAAACAAAACAAAAAAAACATTACTATCTATTGTGCTGAAAACGTTTAGACCCACATTTAGAATCGTAAGTTAAATGGCGTCGTGTGTAACGAAAATCCGATTATTGGCGACGTCATCAAATTACAGATATGACCACTTTCTAAACAAGTACCGCTGCTTAAATAGTTTAGTACAAATCATACCAATGGGGGCTCCCGGTGACAATCGAACTCACTATTCAATAATAACGATCTGCAAAACGAGTTTATTAATCGATAATCCGCAAATTTTTCTTTTTTCAATTTCGCAAATAAAAATCTCGGCAACAGGTTTTCTCCATCAGATGGCAATTATTTCGAATATTTGATGAGGATTTGTACTGCACACACACACACACACACTAGTAACAAAATATTTTCTGTAAAATGACTACAAAGAACTAATATGTAATTGTAGATTTGTGACACCTACTGGGATCAATCAGACACCGGAGCCGTAGTGCAAGGTGAGTCTAAACTGATTTAGTTTTTAAGTGCTGGCTTAGCTTCGTTTGTCAGTATAACTTGCTGTTGGTAGAAAGGCGAGGTCGGAGGCAGGAATCGGGGAATCTCTCAGTCAGCTCTCTCGTAGCTCTCCCCGACTGCAAAACGCGAACTGCCCAAGGGCGCTCGCTTACATGGACTTCAACCAAAATCCGGTGCGGGGTTAGACGTAGCCTGGGGTATTCAGTGAATCCCCGATTTCCAAGAAGGGTGCCTTTGTTGTCTGGCCAAGAAAATTAATTACTTTACATTTTTGAAAAATTAATTACTTCCTATTTCTGAAGGGATCCTTCGTCCGTGAGGAGAGGTTGCAGGAAAAGTATCTTCCTAAACTCCCTCCTCCTCACATTGGTACCTCACACCAATTCCTTTCGGTGGGCGTTAGTAACTTCTCCGTCTCTCTTACTATTTTACCTCTGCCTATCACCACTGCTACCACACGACCAATGGCATCTCTGTTGTACTGGTGTGGCTAAGCTTGCTTCATTAATTAACTCTTTGACACCACTGTTTATTCAGGATTTCTTATCCTGTTCCCAGATCATGAGCAGTTTAGAAAAATCAACTGGAACTTTGTTTACGCAAATCCTTTTGCGCTCTGCCAAAATTCCTACAATTAACACATGGCCTTCTCGTCTGGCCATTTCCACGGTCACATTACCTGTTTACACAATATCTATGTACTCTCGAACGATATCTTCGTCGATTCTGGTTATTTTGTGTTTTCTTAACCAGCACTTTTAACGGGCATCATTAATCAACTGCCAGAGATCACCACATTGCCTTTTCGTGAAATTATCGTTGACGCATTTCTTCTGCTTCTTGAGAAGAATAGACTTTTTGAAAAAAAAACAAAAAACATGTTGATCGGTACATTCTTTGGGATATCTCTTTTACAGCATTTCCCGTTCAATGTTTATGGCTAATTAGTTAATTAGAAAAGCTAAATAGTGTCACAGATTAAAGAAAGTGACTATTAATCACCAACTATCAATGTCTATCAAAGCCAACGACTTCTTTTAAGCTGAAGTTCAGCTTTTATATTATCGACAATATTTCAGGACAAACACGGCACAAGAACAACATATATAAGATTCGCCAGCGGCGAATAGAAGTAGTCAATTGCTAGAAGTGAATCAAGTGAATTCCATAATGAATCTCCAACTGCAGGATATCTACCAACCGCTCCACGCGGTCAGATTTGGCACAAGGCCGAATTTAATGTGAGGTATCCGAGCCCGTAAGCTTGGCCCAAAATTCCCCGTATAAAAGACACAGAGAGTTTGACCAGCACAGCTGGGGACGAATCTCCAACTGCAAACTAACATACAGTATTTACTACTGTATTTATGTGAATGGGAACATACCCATTATCGTCCATAGGTATGCTACAACAATTTTCCAAAGGATTTTAGTGTAGCATCGTATCCGTAAAAATGATTTACCTTAGAATGTCATTTCCATTCAGAATGTTGTATCTGTGCTCTATGCGGGAAATCTAATGCAAGTGTCAGTCAATAATTAATGCCAGTTTTTAACTTTAATTACAATCAATTTAATAAAGACTACCAAAAAGAGCATCAAAATCTCAGTATTCCAAATCTAGTATTCAACATAATCCCCTTCCTTCTCAGTATACATGGCCCCATTCAAAAGTATACCTCTAAACAAGTCTATATATATTCGCCTCATAGAAGCTTCTTAGTCATGTGTGTCTTATCATCATTCAAGAACCAGTGTCTTTTGATTGCTTTTTCATGAGTCTGAGAAAGCCAAATCAGAATTGTAGAATAGACAAAACAACTTTATTCAAACAAGTAACTGTAACTGCTTGTCTGATCTTTCAGCTGATGTGAGGCGTTGCATTATCATGTTGTAAAAGCATATCATATCTTCAAATAAAGCCCAATTCAAAGAAGCCTTACCTGCTTTGAATAAACTTTGAAGTAGTCAAGAGTCTTCACTAAATTGCAGACGTTACCATAGCTTTCACAGAGTTTGTAAAAAAAAAAAAGGGAATTCTTCTTTCAGCTTCAATGAGAGTACCAGCCTGTTTGGTATTATCCTCATTCACAGAAACAGCAGACCTGCTACTGCAGAGTCTGTTACTAAGATAAACTTCTCTCTAGGATAACCATTAACTCTATTGATTATGCACTTAGTGTAGCCTTTCTATAAATATTTACTGAACATTTGTAAATATTAGCATCAATTTCCTTTCAAAAGCAGAAATCTTTTGTCAGTAAAGCCTTTTCTAATTTTAAGAGTATTCATTTTTTTTTTTTTACTTTCTATATGCATCCCAGGCCAAAATGTTTGAAAGAGTATTATGGGTAGGAAAAGAGAATGGAACTTCACAAACTCTTATAGTTAAAAAAAAAAATGAATACTCTTAAAATTAGAAAAGGCGTTACTTTTTACCAATCTCTCTCTCTCTCTCTCTCTCTATATATATATATATATATATATATATATAAACAGATTTATAATCCCCGGTTCTTCAGCATTTACTTTTAAAACCAGTGCTCGATATACAGTAGAGCATAATATTATATTATTATTTAAAAATATGTATCCATCGCAACACAAATATTAACTTTTCGGAACCAAAACCTAAACCTTAAATTAAACTTAAAATTGAAGTTTTGTTCCATTTTCAAGTGACTTTTTTTAAGCTAAATAGTATTATACAGTTTAAGTTGGAGGAGGAAGGGATTACAAAATTCTAAAAGGGGTGTTGGCTTTTTTTGGCAAATCAAGATACAAGTATAATTTAAGATGGCAAAGTAAATATAGGTAAAGGGTTAGGTGTGGGTTTTTAATTTCTGCTGATCAATACTGGCTTCCTTATATGAGAAGGTGTCATCACTGTTTTTTTTTGTTTTTTTTGTTTTGTTTTTAGGGGCATACATAAGATATACTACAATACATTGGCATTTTCTTAAAGGGGCTTCAAATATGATTATGATTTCTAACAATTTTTTATTTATTTTTGCATATATATATTTTAAATTCAGTATCACCCACTTTGAATATATATTATTCTTGTTTTTCTCCAGACCCCATGAAATGTCCATCCAATGTTATTTTTTAAAGTATTTAGTGGGAAAAAAAAAAAAATTAAAGTCTGTTTACAACTGTAAAATGCATGTAATGACTTCATAGAAATTTCTTTTGAAACAGAAAAATGGAAAGCTGTATCTTTTGCATTTCTGGCAAAATGCATTATTTGATTAATGAATTGCATAGTGATGATTTTGATAGACATTTTGAAAAAGGTCATAAGATTCCAAAGAAAATTGCTATGACAAGATTTCCTCAAAGAAATTTGAATTTTAAGACATTCTAATGTTCATATAGTAACATAATCATAGAAGCTGCACTGCATAATAAAAAGAGCCTATATGCATGTAGAGAAATACCAAATAAATTACAGACCATTGACCTCTGGAAAGCTACTCCTCACTTTTTCAGATTTTGATAAAAGGACAAAGAAAAATTAATCTTTTTGAATTTATTTAGATTAAATCTTATTCAAGGAAAGGTGCTATACAAGTGAGCAAGGAGATGTCCTAGGGAATACCATGTTTATTGTCAGTTGCTCCATTAGTCGCCTTTTGCAAAACCACATCACTATTAATTCTTAGAAACTGTACTAATGGACTACAATTATGTTCTACAGAGCCTTTCTGTATACAGTCAATCACTTGGAATTCACTTAAAGAGTAGAAAAAAACTGTAAAAATACACTAAATGGAAATATTCTTTTATAAAAAGAACACAACCTCTCTCAGCTTCTGACTGGCCAGCATTCAACTTGAATTCCCTTTTATAAAAGGGCTCCAGTGTTGTGAGACTAAAACAAAAGATCTTTATGACTTTCGTTTTTAGAACATCAGTTTTGGTATGAATTTAAAAAGATTCAATTAATAATATATACACCAGTCATCTTATAGAAAGGTTTATACTATCACATCTTGTGTATAAACAATTGCTTTACATTCTATAATTTCTGATTGTTATTCATATCAAAATGTATATTGAACCTTGGAGGAAAAAAAAAAAGAAAGAATTTTGTTTACCTATATAGAAATACCAAAAAGGAGAAAAATACCAAGGCACTGACCTTCCCATCAATAATGCAAATATTTGAAGTTGATTTTGTAACTGCAACACAAACAGTAGTCTCTAACTTTAAACAATATTCAAACAGTTGTTTATTTCGGATAAAAAGAAAGCAGACAATATTGTCAATAACTTTTATTATTACGGATTTAGTTTTCTTGTATAACAGTATTTTTCATGACCCAACATCCCTTTAATTTTCAGGGCTGAGATAAAAAGCAAAACATCTGATACCAATAGCTTGTATAACTGAGGAGAGACTGCTTCAAACCAAGACATATGGTGAGTAGGCAATAGTTAAAAGGATATTAAACTAAAAAATAAATCTAATGAAGTACTTGGTAAGATGATTTAAGCCATATTAAGCAAAATGTTTATAAAAAACTTTTATATAACATACCTTTATTTTAATTTGTTGAAAAAGATTAAAAAGCAGTGGAACATTCGTTGAGAAATTATAAGATTGTTCTTTCTTAATATATTTGTATATGTGAATATGATGTATATTTGTATATATTTATAATTTGTAATACATGGTGCTGAAAAGTTTTAGCTTGATCCACTATCTCAAATCTATATTTCTTTTGGAAAGGTTTCTAGGTCTTTTCAACCAGCACCTCAAATGACATGGGAAATTAAAGGAAAAATGAAAATGCAAAAAAATAGAGAGAAAGGTTTATTATAAGAAATTATATATAAACAGTAAATACATATTTAAAGAGATAAAAACAATAAAGCAAGACTGCAATGTTTCATTTACATTAGAAATATAAGCTGCTGAAAAGAGGAACAAAATGAAGCAGCAGATTGGCTGTCAGTGATGTTAAGGGACAACACACTCCATAAACAATAACAATAATAAAAAGAATGGGGAAGACTTCATTAAATTAAGAACTGATTTAAAATTAAAAAAAAAAAAAAAAAAAAAAAACACCCCATCTCCAAATTTTATTTTATGAAACTTGCAGGTTGAGTTGATTGGTGGTTGTGGGTAAAAAAAATGGGTTCAAGATTTCATTTAAAGTATCAAATTGGTGACTATTAGAAATTCTCTCAAAGCAAGGGTCATTTTATCAAGTGGAAAATATATAATATGGATATTTTACCTTTTTATAAAATCATAAATGATTTAAAATTATGCAGCAGATTCTATAAATATATTTTAAACCATATTCTTGCCATGGCAAATTAATAAATTGGAAAAGGTGCTACAAGCTGGAATAGATAGAATTGTGTGAAAATGTTTAAAAATCAGCAAAAAAAAAGTCTACAAAGGAAAGAAATCACTTTACTGGTTCCCATGATTTAAGACATTAAGGAGAAAAAAAAAACATTGATGCTAAAAATAGACAAGATGAAGAACTTTTTTTAACTTATCTGCAGGTAGATTGTAAGTAAGCAAAGGCAAACTTAATCTTGTGAGAAAATTTCATTTTTAATAATGAATAGATTTTGTCTATATCAAAAAATAAAATTTAATGTCTTATGATGACAACAACAAAAAAAGAAAACATGCTAGAAATTGGGATTCATGCTTTTGATATTGAAAACTAAGAAAAAATGTGAATGTTTAATAATATAAATTTTCATTGTGATTTCTTTTAATATTAAATGACATT